GGTGACGAGCTTAAGTCTACGGTGATGGGCTTAACTCTAAGGCGAATGGTCTTAGGTCTAAGGTGAATGAGTTTAGGTCTAAGGTGAATGGAGTTTAGGTCTAAGGTGATGGGCTTAAGTCTAAGGTGATGAGCTTACGTCTCAGGTTGATGGGCTTAGGTCTAAGGTGAATGGACTCAAGTCTAAGGTGAAGGGGCTTAAGTCTAAGGTTGATGGGCTTGGGTCTAAGGTGAATGGACTGAAGTCTAAGGTGAATGGGCTTAAGTCTAAGGTGAATGGACTTAAGTCTAAGGTTGATGGGCTTAAGTCTAATGTTGATGGGCTTAGGTCTAAGGTGAATTGGCTTAAGTCTAAGGTAAGTGGACTTAAGTCTAAGGTGAATGGGCTTAAGGCTAAGGTTGATGGCCTTAGGTCTAAGGTGAATGGAATTAAGTCTAAGGTGAATGGGCATAGGTCTAAGGTGTATGGGCTTAAGGCTAAGGTTGTTGGGCTTAGGTCTAAGGTAAATGGACTTAAGTCTAAAGGTAAATGGACCTAAGTCTAAGGTGAATGGGTTTAAGTCTAAGGTTGATGGGCTTAGGTCTAAGGTGAACGGGCTTAAGTCTAAAGTTGATGGGCTTAGGTTTAAAGTGAATGGGCTTAAGTCTAAGGTGAATGGGCTTAAGTCTAAGGTGAAAGGGCATAGGTCTTATATGAATGAGCTTAGGTATAGTGAATGGGTTTAGGTCTAGGGTGGAAGGGGTTAGGTCTAAGGTGAACTAATCGGTCTAAGGTGAATTTTGTTAGGTCTAAGGTGAATGGGTTGAGGTATAGGATGATTAGGTTCAAATATGAGGTGCTTGGCTGTGGGCTTGTGGATATTGAATTCAGGTCTAAGGTGAATGGGTTTCGGATTCATGTCAATTAGGGTGCATGGGAGTAAAACTAAGGGATGCCCAGTAAAGTATATGAGATGTAACTTTAAGGATCGAGGTCTAGGATTTTGGGATAGGAGGAGACTAGCCTGTACACATACATACCCACACCCACCCACACACACACATACACATATATATATATAAATCTATATAAGTTTGCTTGTGTGGGCTTATCATACACTGTAGGGGAAGCTGAACACACAGTCGAGTCGCCTTGCAGTTCGCGTGTGCGACATTACTGTTGCGTACAAGGAATTAGGGGAAGAGTTTGGTACATAATGAATCCCAAGCATTCCCGTAATAAAATAAAATAGATACGTATGTAGAACCAAACATACTAAGGTGTCGGATGCACCAAACACGCCTTTCGGGGTAAGAAATCCGAAGTATATATCAAAACCATTCTGAATGGAGCAATATTTACCGCATACCTGCTTCAGTTTTGATGAAATTGTGTTAAAGATCTCTTTGAGATCTTTCGAAGCCTGTGACTCCACCAATAGATGACCACTCGCGCCCAACAGTACAGGTATAGCTGGACTTAAAAGCTCCACACCCATTAGCAGCAAGTCCTCCACCACATCACCAGTCCCACAGTCTTCGATTACATTACAAACAACCTGCACAGATATCGGTATGTTCAGGAAGTTGTAGTATGACAACAGCTAAATACTTTACATGGTTAAGAGTCACGTTGTTTTGAGTCAACGCCACAGCACTACCGAATATATATATATATATATATGGCTGAATATAAAAACGGGCACTACACACTGCAAAAGAATCGAATAATTGAGTATGTTTCAAACGATATGAGAATAGGTATAAGCACATCCAGGTACAGTGGTCTTGCTGGGCTATCTGCAATGCGTATTTGTGGCAATTCTGTTTGTATGTACAGAACACAGTGGCAATTGTGTTCATTTAACACTTGGACGTGTACGATTATGTATAATCGACTATGAGTGAACAAGGCTGTGCCGATGGTACACATGTATTTTGCTTTAAATAACTATATTTATCCTTTGGTGTAATATGGTAGCCACAACTACCTATTTTGACGAGCAATCGCAAAACTGCATCAATCTATAAACTTAAAAACTAGATTACAAAAAAAACCCCATATCCTGTGTACATCCGTAACATCCACATGATTGTGCATAGAGGTTGTTAATAAAACACGCGACGACATATCTATACTAAACACTATACCAAGACCTAGTAAACATAACAATAAACACATATCCAAAAGTCTGTACTAGACACACCTGGCTCTCATTGCGCGACCTTGATGTGCTCCACATGTACTCCACTGCCAGGTATGAGTACGATCCTTCCTTCCAAATCTTGGCAACTCTATATATATTGAAACATAAAATATATAATCATGGGGTGTTGTGTTTAAAGTCTCTTCTATATAGTATATACAAGACTACAGATCCTACAAATCAAACCATATCGTAGATTGTAGATCCTTAATATGTGAAAATACGTTTCCTATTGAAGCTCTTAAACTGCATATTTCACTCAAAGATACTATATATATATATATATATAAATATATATATATATATTTACATATAAATAAATATATATATATATATA